AAGTGAAATTTCATTAAACTCCCACTTTTCTAATTCAAAGTTCCTGATTTTACTCATCCACTAAAATGTTTCTTTGAAATTTTTATTTTGGCACAACTTTCACAGATCTTTTTTCCTGAAAAAGGCAGAATGGACTCTTTTAAAACTGGGCCCAAAATTTTCAAAAGAGTTTTGTGTAGGTACTGTATGTTCACTGAGGTAATAAAAATTTATTGAAATTGATCAGCTTCACAGATCTTCTTAAATTATGTGGGATTTGTGGAGATGTTTTCAAGTGCAGCACATTAGGCAACATTTAGTAGAATTCTTGCCCAGTTCCCAGATGCCAATGTTTTTGAATTTTCAACGGACAAAATTTCATCACTCTGAAAATGTTCACAAATGTTGAACAGCAAGCATGAAGGTGACAGTGCTAGTGTGAAGTTGAGGATTTTTCCACAAGACGTCTGGCAACACTGTATGAGGAAAGTCAAGTGAAAATCAAGTGTTCCATGTTAGAGGACTTTACTATAATGCTAATGTAAGCAACTTGGCCTACAGAGGGCCTGTGTGGAGCACCCTCCCAGAGGACATGTTTTGTTATTTAGATTTAATGACAATGAATGCACAAAAGGTTTACTTGAACCTATCCTAGAGGAAGAAAGAAATGCCCTGTAACTTGATGTCATACACAGGCCCTCTATAAAGACTATTGTAATTCCAGACTACACTGTACTTCCTTTCAGTTTATGTCCAAAAAATATTGCTACAATTTTTGCAATGGAAGGACAACTTGATAGCCTCGATGTCAGTCAAGATAAACATGTACATAAAGGAAAGCATTTCTTATGGTGATGCCAATCATTTTTACCAGCATTGACCTTTTGTTATGAGTACTACCATCTGAAAGCATTAAACAATTACACACATGTACAATGTAAGTCTTATCAAGTCTAATTTAGCTGTGAAACTTAGGAAATACTCGACCAGTCGGTTCGAATATTTTTGGTGAAATCCTGTTTTTATCACACGAGCAACCTACATGTACATGCATAACATGTAGACTCTGTCATGTCTGTGTGACTGGATTGATACCAGCAGGGTAGGCGTCATACGCTGTGCAGGTTGAACAACCCAAACCTGTGAAAATAGTCAAACTGATGCATGTGGAACTCACAGAGGCCTATGGTGCGGGAAAAAAATGGACAATTGATGATCAACACCTAGTGTACATATGTCCCGGGCATTATACTCCTAAAATATAGTCAAAAGGCCAGTGTTAACTTACAGGTACACTGTTCTCTAGAGCTACGATAAAAATAAAAATAATTATGA